CTGCATGGTGTGGCTTTTGGTCCTCCAGAACAGGGGTCCCCAACCACTGGTCCGCGGACCGGTACCGGTCCGTGGAACAAGTCCTACCGGGCCGCTGGCTTGCTGGGCACCGCCATCTTGTTTTGATGAAAAAGTGCTTCCGGTGAGCTTTTCCGGGTAGAAAGCTCACCGGAAGCACTTTTTCATCAAAACAAGATGGCGGCGCCCAGCGCTTCCGGTGAGCTTTTCCGGGTAGAAAGCCATTTCTACCCAGAAAAGCTCACCGGAAGCACTTTTTCATCAAAACAAGATGGCGGCGTCCAGCTGATGTCGGTACCGGGCCGCGGCGTAAAAAAGGTTGGGGATCACTGCTCCAGAAAATACAATGCCCACCTGACTTGTCACTTGAGAAAAGAGAGCTCTTTCTAAAATGGATGAAGACGACTTCTTGCAGCGGCTGTTCTTTTCTCTCTCTCCTTTGCAGCGAATATGGATTTAACCCAGCTTGTCTCAGGCTCAACCCATTACAGGTTTTGAGGCAGACAGCTCCAGTTTGGGTAGCAGCTGGTTGGGAGCTGCTTCAATTATCACCTTTGGGCTTCCAGGGAGAATTTGTGGGGCTTATTATCCCAACTCACGAGAGTTGTCAGAATAAACCGGTCTGTCTAAATCTAAATCGGTTGAGAGAAGAACCTTGGCTGCTAAGGGAGCAGAATGGCTTTAAGTCAGCTTCTGCAAAGAACTCCGGTTTCTCAGCTGGCTTTTATCTCTTCAGGGAGGGGCCATGACCTTGCAGCCTTACTCCCCGAGTCGCCCGTGCTGCTGCAGCTGCTCTTTCCTTCGAGCAGCCCTGCGTGCACGCGCACTGGGCACAGGCTCCTCGGGATCCTCTTCCTCACTGCTGCCAGCCTCCAGAATCTCTGAAGGCAGCATTCCACTCCCTGATGGTCCTGGCCCCATCCCTGCATCACACGCAGGCCCCTCACCTGAGTCCTTGTTCTCCAAGACCTCAGCCGTCCTCACCTGCTGGCCAACCACAACAGAAAACCTCTGCATGCCCCACCATGATGCAGGAGGCTGACTGGGCCATGCCCATCATGGCCGTGCCCACCCAGAAACCGGGCAGAGAACACCTTGCAAAATTTTTTTGAAGCCCACCCCTGTGTCTGAGGCCAGGGGCTGGGCAGCTGAGGAGAGTCTCCCTTGAAGGCAGAGCAGGATCCTTTCCCATCTCACCTCTCCCCTTGTCCAAGGAGGCCAGAGAGGCCACTGCCATCCCTTCTCATCTCTTCTCCTCCTCTTCCTCCAGGTGATGCTAGTTGGTGACTCTGGAGTTGGCAAGACCTGTTTGCTGGTGCGCTTCAAGGACGGCGCTTTCTTGGCTGGGAGCTTCATCTCGACAGTGGGGATCGATTTCCGGGTAAGTGGCCCTAGATGGCTTCGTTTGGGGCAGAAGCTGAAGCCCCAGAGACCTCAGAGCTCCTGCCAGCTGCATCAGAAGGAGTGGGAGCAGGAGGAGATCTTGGAGGGCTGCCCCCAAGGATCTTCTCTGTCTTGAGAGCAAGGAATTTATTATTGATTGATTGATTTGATTTGATTGAAATTTATTATTATTAAATTTATTTGCTGCCTATGTTCTCATTTTGAAGTGACTCTGGGCGGCTTATAACATGGAAACATTAACATCATCAAAACATAAATATTCCATGGATAAAATCTTCCTTTTGGGTCTAATGGAAAAAGACCTGGAGAAAAAAATGTGGAACTTTGTTATTATATATGTTCACAGCAGCAGGATTATGGCATGTGCAAAAATGGGAGGGCACTTCTATACCTACCATAGAAGAATGGTTGCAAAGTTAACGGAGTTGGCTGAAATGGCAAAATTGACTATTTTAATTTAAAAAAGGAATATTATTTTTGTTTCTTCATGAAGACAAAAGCTTCTGAACTTTGTGCAGAAAAAATGAAACCTTGATTTTGGGTTTTACCGATTAGATTGATAGATCCGTATAGAAATGGTCTGTTGATATTATTATTAAAAAAACAAAAAGTTGTGATTTGATGTTAATGCCTTATTCTACTGCAAGAGTTGGAAGTTATTATTTCTTTTTCTCTTATCCTCCCTCACTTCTCTTCCCCCTCTTCCTTTCCACCATTTTCCTATTTACTTTCCTATTTTATATCTTATTTTATTCTATAACCCAATAAAAATGTTAAACGAGAAAAAAATAAATATTCCAGAAAATGCCCTTTGGCTGAGTAAGCCGCCTTGCCTTGAACCTTCCACCTGCTTGTTGCTCAGGGATGCTGGAGTCCCAAAAGGGCCTGTGAGGAGGGAAATTTCCTTCTTGTC